GGAATTGCCCCAAAAAGAGCTGGAATTGCCCCAAAAAGAGCTGAAATTGCCCCAAAAAGAGCCAGAATTGCCCTCCAGGACCTGGAATTGCCCTCCAGGACCTGGAATTGCCCCCTCAGGACCTGGAATTGCCCCCAAAAAGAGCTGGAATTGCCCCAAAAGGGCTGAAATTGCCCCAAAAAGAGCTGGAATTGCCCCAAAAAGAGCTGGAATTGCCCCAAGAAGAGCTGGAATTGCCCTCCAGGAGAGGGAATTGCCCCAAAAAGGGATGGAATTGCCCCAAAAAGAGCAGGAATTGCCCCAAAAAGAGCCAGAATTGCCCCTCCAGGACCTGGAATTGCCCCCTCAGGACTTGGAATTGCCCCAAAAAGAGCCGGAATTGCCCCAAAAGGGCTGGAACTGCCCCAAAAAGAGCCAGAATTGCCCCAGAAAGAGCCGGAATTGCCTTCCAGGACCTGGAATTGCCCCCTCAGGACCTGGAATTGCCCCCAAAAGGAGCTGGAATTGCCCCAAAAGGGCTGAAATTGCCCCAAAAGAGCTGGAATTGCCCCAAAAAGAGCTGGAATTGCCCCAAAAAGAGCTGGAATTGCCCCAAAAAGAGCTGGAATTGCCCCAAAAAGAGCTGGAACTGCCCCAAAAAGAGCTGGAATTGCCCCAAAAAGAGCTGGAGTTGCCCCAAAAGGGCTGAAATTGCCCCAAAAAGGGCTGAAATTGCCTCAAAAAGAGCTGGAATTGCCCCTCAGGACCTGGAATTGCCCCCCAGGAAAATATTCCAGGACAAAATTCCCACCTGGAAATACTGCACAGCCGAAGATTCCTCCGTGCGCTCGCTGAACACCGAGCGCTCCGTGTTGTGACCCCGGCAGTTCTTCAGGATGTTGTAAAAAGAGCAGAAATCTGGGAAAAACACCCCAAAAAAAAAAACGGGATGAGGGGGATCTTTGGGATAATCCAGGTGGGAATTAATTGGGGTGGGGGTCTCACCGTTGGGGGTCCCGAATTGCAGCAGGACGCTGTTGCAGCCCAGGGTGATGATGAAGGATTGTTTTCCCACGCGGCTGCACTCGGTTTCCCGGGACACGGAGCACTTGAACACGCAGACATCCTCGTCTGGGGGGGAAAAAACCGGGAATGAGGAGGGGAAATGGGAATGGGGAGAGGGAAAAGTGGGAATGGGGAGGGGGAAATGGGAATGGGGAGAGGGAAATGGGAATGGGGAGAGGGAAATGGGAATGGGGAGAGGGAAATGGGAATGGGGAGAGGGAAATGGGAATGGGGAGAGGGAAATGGGAATGGGGAGAGGGAAATGGGAATGGGGAGAGGGAAATGGGAATGGGGAGAGGGAAATGGGAATGGGGAGAGGGAAATGGGAATGGGGAGAGGGAAATGGGAATGGGGAGAGGGAAATGGGAATGGGGAGAGGGAAATGGGAATGGGGAGAGGGAAATGGGAATGGGGAGAGGGAAATGGGAATGGGGAGAGGGAAATGGGAATGGGGAGAGGGAAATGGGAATGGGGAGAGGGAAATGGGAATGGGGAGAGGGAAATGGGAATGGGGAGAGGGAAATGGGAATGGGGAGAGGGAAATGGGAATGGGGAGAGGGAAATGGGAATGGGGAGAGGGAAATGGGAATGGGGAGAGGGAAATGGGAATGGGGAGAGGGAAATGGGAATGGGGAGAGGGAAATGGGAATGGGGAGAGGGAAATGGGAATGGGGAGAGGGAAATGGGAATGGGGAGAGGGAAATGGGAATGGGGAGAGGGAAATGGGAATGGGGAGAGGGAAATGGGAATGGGGAGAGGGAAATGGGAATGGGGAGAGGGAAATGGGAATGGGGAGAGGGAAATGGGAATGGGGAGAGGGAAATGGGAATGGGGAGAGGGAAATGGGAATGGGGAGAGGGAAATGGGAATGGGGAGAGGGAAATGGGAATGGGGAGAGGGAAATGGGAATGGGGAGAGGGAAATGGGAATGGGGAGAGGGAAATGGGAATGGGGAGAGGGAAATGGGAATGGGGAGAGGGAAATGGGAATGGGGAGAGGGAAATGGGAATGGGGAGAGGGAAATGGGAATGGGGAGAGGGAAAGGGGAATGGGGAGGGGAAAAGCGGGAATGAGGAGGGAAAAATGGGAATGAAGAGAGAAAAACTGGGAATGAGGAGAGAAAAAACAGGAATGGGGAAGGAAAAATGGGAATGGGGAGGGAAAAATGGGAATGGGGAGGGAAAAATGGGAATGGGGAGGGAAAAACTGGGAATGGGGATAGGGAAATGGAAATGGAGAAGAAAAAAGCGGGAATGGGGAGGGGAAAAGTGGGAATGGGGAGGGAAAAATGGGAATGAGGATGGAAAAAGCGGGAATGGGGAGGGGGAAATGGGAATGGGGAGGGAAAAACAGAGGGAAAATGGGGTGGAATGAAAGGAAAAAGGGGAGGGAAAAGTGAGGTGAGCACGAGGCCGAGCCCCCGATTCCGGTTCGGAACGCTCCCGAGGGAGAGGAATAAATCCCAATTAACCTGATTAACACTAATTACGGCGGGGGAGGACTCCTAAAGCGAGGCCTGGAGGGGGGAGGGAGGGGGAGCAGCCGGAATTCCAGGTGGAAATTGGGATTTTGGGTCTGTGGATACGAGGGGAGGGGATGGAGGGGCTGAGATGGGATCGCACAGGAGTTGGGAATTATCCCAGGAATCGGGAATCATCCCGGGAATGATCCCGGGAATCATCCCAGGAACCAGCCCGGGAATCATCCCGGGAATCAGGAATTATCCCAGGAATGATCCCAGGAATCATCCCAGGAACTGGGAATCATCCCGGGAATCATCCCAGGAATCGGAAATCATCCAAGGAACCAGGAACCAGCCCGGGAATCATCCCGGGAATCAGGAATTATCCCAGGAATCATCCCAGGAATCGGAAATCATCCCAGGAACCAGCCCCGGAATCATCCCAGGAACCGGGAACCAGCCCAGGAATCATCCCGGGAATCAGGAATTATCCCAGGAATGATCCCAGGAATCATCCCAGGAATTGGGAACCAGCCCTGGAATCATCCCAGGAACCGGGAACCAGCCCGGGAATCACCCCGGGAATCAGGAATTATCCCAGGAATCATCCCAGGAATCATCCCAGGAATTGGGAACCAGCCCGGGAATCATCCCAGGAACCGGGAACCAGCCCGGGAATCATCCCGGGAATCAGGAATTATCCCAGGAATCATCCCAGGAATCATCCCAGGAATTGGGAACCAGCCCTGGAATCATCCCAGGAACCGGGAACCAGCCCGGGAATCATCCCGGGAATCAGGAATTATCCCAGGAATCATCCCAGGAATCGGAAATCATCCCAGGAACCAGCCCCGGAATCATCCCAGGAATTGGGAACCAGCCCGGGAATCATCCCGGGAACCGGGAACGCTGCCCCGGGGCACCAGGAATCATCCCGGGAACCGGCCCTAGAATCATCCCAGGAATCGGGAATCATCCCGGGAATCATCCCGGGAAACGGGAATGCTGCCCTGGGCACCGGGAACCATCCCGGGAACCGGGAACCAGCCCGGGGCACCGGGAATCATCCCAGGAATCATCCCAGGAACCGGCCCTAGAATCATCCCAGGAATCGGGAATCATCCCGGGAATCATCCCGGGAAGTGGGAACGCTGCCCTGGGCACCGGGAATCATCCCAGGAACCGGGAACCAGCCCTGGGCACCGGGAATCATCCCAGGAATCATCCCAGGAACCGGGAACGCAGCCCCGGGGCACCGGGAATCATCCCGGGAACCATCCCGGGAACCGAGAACAAGCCCCGGGGCACCGGCCGCTCTCACGGCGGTTCAAACAATTCCCGGTTCCCGCCGCTTCCCAGAAAATCCCGGAGCTGCGGCGGCTGCCGGAGCCTCCCGGGCTCTTTGTGGCCGCTGGAAGCGGCGGCTGATGCGGCCCGGAGCCCCCCGGAGCCCCCCGGGCACACAAAGGCTCCTCTGGAAAAGCTTCCGAAGCCTCCACGGGGAAGCTCCGGCAATTCCCGGGATGGAGCCGTGCCTCAGTTTCCCTGCCTCCAGCGAGGAGAGGGGAGGGGGTCGGGGGGTCGCGCCCCCCCCCCCTCTCTCAAAGCACGGAGGATCCCGAGCACAAAGAGTCCGGGAAAAGAGAAAATAAAGGAAAAATTTCCTCAAAGCACGGGATAAAAAGAAAAAAAAATAAAGCCGGAATGTTGAGCGGAGACAAAGAGGACTCGGAGGAGCCGCCGCGACCCCTCCCCAAAATTCGGGGGGACCACCGGGAGCACCCTCCCCCCCCCCCGGGGAGGTCACGGAATTGGGGCCGTTTCGGGTAAAAGTGAGAAGGAGAACAAGGAGGGGGTGGGGGAATCAACTTTCCGCAGCCTCCGGAAAACGCCGGGAGATGGCGACCCCCCCCCCCCAAAAAAACCC